CCACGCCACGCTCATATTGAGTGTGTGTGTGTGTGTGTGTGTGTGTGTGTGTGTGTGTGTGTGTGTGTGTGTGTGTGTGTGTGTGTGTGTGTGTGTGTGTGAGTGAGTGTGAGTGTGAGTGTGAGTGAGTGTGTGTGAGTGTGTGCGTGCGTGTGTGTGTGTGTATTTGTGTGCGTGTACGTTTGTACGCGTGTACGTGTGTGCTCGTGTACGTTTGTGCGCGTGTCTGCGTATGTGTAAGCGTGCGTGTCCATGCACGCGTACGCACATCCTTGATTGAGAAGCCCATGGCCTAATGTACCGGGAGATTTGCCGCCTTTTTCCTTCCCCTTTTAATTAACGTGGGCCGGAAAAACATAGAAGTGCAGCCTTCGTCTCCTCCGCGGGAGCTCGGCCGCCCACAGGGTTTCCTGCCACACACCGCGCTTCATATATGCGAATATGTAGATATATATGTGTATATATATATATATATATATATATATATTATATATATATATATATATGTACATATATATATATATATATATATATACATACATACATACATACATACATATACATACATACATACATACATACATACATACATACATACATACATACATACATACATACATACATACATACATACATATATTTATTATTTATTTATTTATCTATTTATATGTATATGTATATATATGTATATATGTATACACTATATACATAAATACGTATAAACATATACATATATACATAAGCGTGTCCCTCCGTCCTCGCCCTAAGGAACCGCGATACACTCCTCCCTCCGAGTCGACGCCCTCCTCCGTTAAGCAAGCACAAATAAAAAAAAATAATAATAATAAATAAATAAATAAATAAATAAAACAAATAAATATAATAAAAAAAAAAAATAAAAAATAAAAAAAAAATATAAAAAAAAATAAAATAAAAAAATAAAAAAATTATCATAAAAAAAAAATAAATAAAATAAATAAACAAAAATTAGGAAAAAAAACGCGTTCGAGCATCCTGCGTGGAGACTGGCCGAAAAGGTCGCCACGCCCCCAGGAGTCAACAGCTGTGGCGGTGACTTACATACTGTGTCTGTCTCTGTCTCTCTCTCTCTCTCTCTTCTTTTCTCTTTCTCTCCTTATATATATATATAATATATATATATATATATATATATATATAATATATATATATATATATATATATATATATATATATATATATATATATATCTTTATCTATCTCTCACTCTCTATCCATCTATCTATCTATCTATCAATCTATATATCCATCCATCCATCTCAATCAATAGCAATCACTACGCCTCTCCTGTCCTCCCCTTCCCTCTTTCTATCCCCTATTCTTGTCCTCTCTCCTTCTCTGTTTACTTTATCCTCTCTGCTCCCCTCCCTTTCCCTCTTTCATCACCTACATCTCACTTCACACCGCTCCCTCACTCCGTCTTCCTCTCCTTCTTTCACACCTCTTTTCCCTTTCTATTCCTTTCTATTCCCCTCTCTCCTTTCACCATTTCCCCTTCCCTTCTCCCTCTCTATATCGCCTCTCCTCCTGTCTATCCTCTCTCCCTTTCTCTATCCCCTGCCCTCCCCTCTCTCCCTTTCTCTATCCCCTGCCCTCCCCTCTCTCCTGTCCTCACCCCCTCCCTCCTGCCCTCCCTCCCTCCTGCTCTCAACCTCCTTCCTCCTCCCTCCCTGCCTTCCCTCCCTCCTCCTCCTCCTCCTCCTCCCCTCTGTCCTCTCCCCTTTCCTTCCCTCTGGCCCTCCCTTCTCCTTCTCCTTCTCCTCCTCCTCCTCCTTCTCTTCTTCTTCTTCTTCTTCTTCTTCTCTCTTCTTCTTTCTCTTCGTCTTCGTCTTCGTCTTCGTCTTCGTCTTCGTCTTCGTCTTCGTCTTCGTCTTCGTCTTCGTCTTCGTCTCCGTCTTCGTCTTCGTCTTCTTCTCTCCCCTCCTCCTCCTCCTCCTTCTCTTCCTCCTCCTCCCTCCTCCTCCTCCTCCTACTCCCCCCTCTCTCCTCCTCCTCTCTCTCCTCCTCCTCCTCCTCCTCCTCCCCCTCCCCCTCCCCCTCCCCCCCCCTCCCCCTCCTCCTCCTCCCCTCCCCTCCGCCTATCTCCTCCTCCGCCTATCCTCCTCCTCCGCCTATCCTTCCCTCCTCCTTCCTCCTATCCTCCTCCTCCGCCCTATCCCCTCCCCTTCCTCTCCTCCGCCTCTCCTCCTCCTCCGCCTATCCTCCTCCTCCGCCTATCCTCCTTCCGCCTATCCTCCTCCTCCGCCTCCTCCTCCTCGCCCTATCCTCCTCCTCCGCCTATCCTCGCCTATCCTCCTCCTCCTCCTCCTCCGCCTATCCTCCTCCTCCTCCGCCTATCCTCTCCTCCGCCTATCCTCCTCCTCTCCCTCCTCCTCCGCCTATCCTCCTCCTCCGCCTATCCTCCTTCCTCCTCCTCCTCCTCCTCTTTCTCCCTCCTCCTCCTCCTCCTCCTCCCTATCCTCCTATCTACTCCTCCTCCTCCTACCCTCCTCCTCCTCCTCCTCCTCCTTCCTTCTATCCCCCTCCCCTTCCTATATTCCCCTTTTATTCCTCCTCCTCCTCCTCCTATCCTCCTTCTCCTCCTCCTATCCTCCCTCCCTCCCCCTCCTCCCCTCCCCCTCCTCCTGCCTCCCTCCTCCTACCTTCCTCTCCTGCCTGTCCTCCTCCCTCTCTCCCTCCCCCTCCCTTTCCTCCGGCCCTCCCTTCTCCTTCTCCTCCTATCCTCTCTCCTCCTATCCTCCTCCGCCTATCCCCCTCCTATCCTCCTCCTCCTCCTCCTCCTCCTCCTGACGTGGCCGGAATCTTAGCGGAGGCGCACGCACACCCGGGAGACTCGTGTCCTGCCGGCAAAGACTTCAAAGTTGCCTCCCAAGAGTGACTCCAATTACGGGGCTGGAAAAGTATGTCGCCCTTCGCATCCCCCTCCCGCCGCCCTCGCTCGCCCCCTTCCTCCGTGTCTCCCCTATCCCCTGTCTCCCCGCCGCCCTCGCTCGCCCTCCCTGTCTCCCTCCCCCTGCCGCCCTCCCGCCCTCGCTCGCCCCCTCGCCCTCCCTCCCCCTCCTCGCCGCCCCGCTCGCCTCCCCCCTCTCCTGCCTCCTCCGCCCTCGCTGCCCCCTCCCCCCCTGTCCTGCCTCCCTCCTCCCTCGCCGCCCTCGCTCGCCCCTCCCTGTCTCCTGCCTCCTGTCCCCCTCCTCCCTGACTCCCTGCCTCCCTCGCCGCCCTCCTCCCTGCCCTCCCCTGTCCCCCTGCCTCTCCTGTCCCTTCCCTGTTCCCTGCCTCCTGTCCCCCTCCTCCCCCTGCCTCCTGTCCCCCTGCCTCCTGCCCTGTCCCCCTGCTCCCTGCCTCCCTGCTCCCTGCCTCCCTGCCTCCTCCTGTCCCCCTGCCTCCCTCCCTGTCCCCCTGCCTCCCTGTACTCCCTATCCCCCTGCCTCCCCTGCCTCCCTGTCCCCCTGCCTCCCTGTCCCCCCCTCCCTCCCTCCCTGTCCCCCTCCCTCCCTCCCTCCCTGCCTCCCTGTCCCCCTCCCTCCCTCCCTGCCTCTCTGTCCCCCTCCCTCCCTGCCTCCCTGTCCCCCCTCCCTGTCTCCCTGCTTCCCTGCCTCCCTGTCTCCCTGTCTCCCTGCCTCTCCTCGTCTCCCTGACTCCCTGTCCCCCTGCCCCCTGCCCCTGTCCCCTGCCTCCCTCCCTATTTCCTACCTCCCTGTCCCCCTGCCTCCCCTGCCTCCCTGCCCCCTGCCTCCCTCCCTCCTGTCCCCCCCTGCCTCCCTGCCCCCTGTCCCCTGTCTCCCTGTCCCCTGCCTCCGTGTCCCCCTGCCTCCCTGCCGCCCTTGCTCGCCTCCCTCCCTGTCTCCCGTGTCCCCTGCCCCCTGCCTCCCTGTCCCCCCTCCCTGTCCCCCTCCCTCCTCCCGCCCTCCTCGCCCTCCCTCTGTCCTGTCTCCGTGCCCCTGCCCCCTGCCTCCCTGCCCCCTGCCTCCCTGCCCCCTGTCCTCCCTGCCTCCCTGTCCCCTGCCTCCCTGTCCCCCTGCCATCCCTGCCCCCTGTCCCCTGTCCCTGCCCCATGCCTCCCTGCCTACGCCCCCCTGTCTCCCTGTCCCCCTGCGTCTCCCTGCCCCGCCCACGTCGCCCTTCCTACACTCTTCCTTTATTTATCTTGTTTTTTTTCAGGAGAGTCGCTATTTCTCCTTTTTGGGTTTTTCTCGCTTTCTGTGAGTGTTTTGTGTCATTTCGATTCGTGTTCTCAATGCGTTCGATTTTTTTTTTTCTTTTGGTTATGTATTAGCATATTTTATCTCTGTCTCTTGCTCTGTTTTCATCAATATACATACATATATACATATACATATCACATTTAAATAACACGGTAAACATCTTTAGTATCAAGCTAGCTGTTACTGCTACATCTTGTAACATCACTATCATTGCCTTACCATCATAAATAAAATTCATCATAACTGTAATAATCGTAGCTAATAATCAAGCTCAAGCTCAAGACTCATAGAGATGAATAAGCTCCAATATCTTTATACTCATAGAGATGAATAATATCAGCAAATATCACTCTTTTATAAGTACAATATTCCAACACTTAGCAAGACAAGGAACCACTGCGCTATTTTCCCAAACATGAGTTCGAAGCCTAACCGTGATACCCCTTGGCCACGAGCCTGTGTCTCGGCGACGACAAAAATACCCGAGCGATGCGCATTCCTCTGACTCTGACATGGGGACATTGCCGTTGTCCTAAACTGAACACAAGGCGAGGCCACGCTATTCCAGCCGTTCCTTGCTCGGGTCCTGCCAACCCAGAGGCCACCGTGCGCCCTGCCAGCGTTTTCCCGCCGCACAGCCAGCGCAATGGCGGCACCACCTCAGGCCGACGCCACCGCACGACCTGACGCGGCCGCCAAAGGACCCCGGGGGCGCCGCGCACTCCAGCACTCAAGACTCAACAGAATGACACTGACCTTCGTAGAACCTTGATCTCGTTCTCCAGGGAATCCTCCTTGCCTTTGAGTGCCTTCTTATCGATGATCTTGATGGCCACCATGTGAGACGGGTCGTCCTTCACCTCCGCCAGACGCACCTGGGAGAAGGCTCCTCTGTCGGGGGAGAAACGTCACGTCAGTTTGTCTCTGGGCGGCGGACGAGGCTTTATATCTAATCATTTATATGAAAAGATACGTAACTTTTAATTTATATGAAAGAAATATAAATTGCTTAAAAAATATTACATAACATCTAATAAGTATTGATGTAATGAAAACATTTATTTGAACCTCCAACACTGCCTCAAACCATACAGCGTTAATATTTGCATCCAAAAATCCCACTCAAAATAATAATAATATAATAATAATAATAATAATAATAATAATATAATAATAACAATAATAAATAATAATAATAAATATAAATAATATAAATATAATAAATAATATAAATAATAAATATATAATATATAATAATCAATAAATATCAATATCAATAATATTAAAAATAAAAATAAAATAAAAAACAGTGCAACCTATCCGTATCAAAAACACAGCTCCCTCCATACAATCACGAGCATAAGAAGCGACATTCGCATACGCCTTCCCCCCCCCCCCCACCCCCCCCAGCCTCTCTCTCCCTCCTTCCCTCCCGCCCTTGCTTTCCCTCATAAAACCGCTCATTCCAGTCGGTTCCTGCTATTGATTGGCCAGCTGAGCGGCATATTGTTCCCGCGACCCGAGCCTACTTCGGCCACGGAAGGCGCTCCTGCCACGCCGCCCGCCCGCGCCGCCTTGGAAATGCCGGGCTAATTATCCGAGCTCTTTTTCTCTCTGTTCTTGGTTCTGGCGCCGCTTCTACCATATGTAGATTCATGTATGTATGTATATATAATATATATATACATAATATATATATATATAATATACATATATATATAATAATATATATATACATATATGTACACACATAATATTATTATACATATATAGATATACATACATATACATATATATGTGAATATATGAATGTATATATATACATATAATATATATTTGTGTGTGTATGCATATGCATGTGTGTGTGTGTGTGTGTGTGTGTGTGTGTGTGTGTGTGTGTGTGTGTGTGTGTGTGTGTGTGTGTGTGTGTGCGTGTGCGTGTGTGCGTGTGCGTGTGCGTGTGCGTGTGCGGTGTGCGTGTGCGTGTGCGTGTGCGTGTGCGTGTGCGTGTATTCATATATATATAAGATAAAGTTTAGCAAGCAAAATTAACGAAGCAAACACAAAATCATTCAGACTTATCACAAGCGCTTGAAATGACAACCACACCAGAAAAATGATGGCGGTTCCGAGCCAGCCATACTGATAACATTAGAAATTAAGACTTATCACAAGCGCTTGAAATGACAACCACACCAGAAGAATTGGAAACATCAAGGATAATTTCACTTGGTATTTCGGCTCAATTCTTATTAAATGTTTGTTTTTAATTTTATTATTATTGCCATGTGTGATCAATCTCATATTTGTCCTCTCATAAAGTTCAGTAGAATGAGGTCTGGTGGGAGTGGGATAGTCAGCAATACCGAATTATTTCAAAATATTGCACTTGTGAATTATGAATTAACAACAAACACTTTATTACTCGCATGAGGTTGTACTAACACTCTACTTACATATTCCCTCTGGTAGGTTTTTTCATGTCGAAACGAGGACGCACTAAATATAACTAAAATTACAGGGAATTAACTTTATCCAAACCTGATTCTTTGATCGCGCACAAATTACCAAATTACAAGGAAGCACTTTCATTGATTTTGACCAAGGCGAAAATGTTTCTTCCTCATTATTACTATTATCATTATTTTCATTATCATCATATCACTATCATTATGATAATAATAATAATAATCATTATTATTATCATCATTATTACTATTATCATTATCGTCATTATTACTATCACTATCATTATTATTATCAGTAGTAGTAGTAGTAGTATGATTACTATTATTGTGATGATTCTTATCACCATTGCATTTGTTCTTGTTATTATTTGTAATAATTAAATTTCATATCTATCACAATCAATATTATTGTTTCTTATCATAGTTATTATTGTTGTTATCCTTCTCTTCCTAATCCCCCTAATCATAATAATTACTGATAACATTTTACCTTCATGAATTTCATATATTCCAGCGATCCCAAAACCTTCCGTATTCTGAACAGGATTTTTTGACCAAGATTTTTTCTCTCTCTCCGTCGTGGTCAAATTTCCCGCCAAACCCAAGTAATCAAATTTCCCGCCAAACCCAAGTACAGCGCAGGACAAAATTCTATTAATGAACCGAAGCTTCGACTCCGCCTCACCCTATACAAAAGGCGTGGTATGAAGCGGAAGTTCGAAGCGGAATTCGAAACATGTTTGACAAGAGTTTTTGACCCGTGACTGTACCTTTTCATCAACACGGTCAACTTTGTACAGGAAGAGCCCCCCCCCCCCCCCCCCCGACGCAAGTTTTCTCCCTCTCGCTTCCCCTTGAGACGCAAGACTCGTCTAATGGATATTAGATGTGTGTGAGGTGGAGGGGGGGGGTGAAGTGTGTTGTGTGTGTGTGTGTGTGTGTGTGTGTGTGTGTGTGTGTGTGTGTGTGTGTGTGTGTGTGTGTGTGTGTGTGTGTGTGGTGTGTGTGTGTGTGTGAGAGGAGAGAGAGAGAGAGAGAGAGTGACTGAGAGTGAGAGTGAGTGAGAAAGAGTGCGTGTGCGTGCGTGCGTGCGTGCGTGCGTGTTGCGTTTGCATGTATGGGCGACTATATACCATGTAGAATTGTTAAAACCTTTTATTCGCGAGTTAGGAAAAGAAATAATAAATCCAATTCATATCTTTAAAAAAAGATCCTTTCGTATTTTGGAGGATTTCGCATAAGAGGTTTTGAAAGATTAAAGCTTTCTGTCTAAGCTGCCCACAAAATTTCCGAGCACCAACGTAAAATTATGAAAAGGCAATTTCTGTCTAACAAAATATTTTTTAAAAAATCCTCTGGTACTGGCTTCGAATCATGTTTTCCTTTTTGGAGTGTGTTTGCGATGTTAACATAAAAACAAGAATAATCACGTGTATATATGTTTACATTTATGCATAATAAAATATATAAATATAGACACATGCATAATAAAAAGCGGTTCACTGATAAGGTTTGCAAGTGGTTGAGGTTATGCACCTACTTTCGTGTTGCTTTTTCACACACACACACACACACACACACACACACACACACACACACACACACACACACACACACACACAACACACACACACACTCGCCCGCTCACTCACTCACTCTCTTTCTCCTCTCTCTCTCCCCTCTCCCTCTCCTCCTCTCTCTCCCTCTCTCCCTCCCTCTCTCATTCAGTCAACAGCTTAGAGGGATTTAATTTTTTTCTTTTTATTCATTTCTTCTTCTCTGTTCAGATTTAAGGATTTCGTTGCGTAATACCACAGCAATGGTACCATGACGAATTTCTATAACTCATCTCCCTAAGTAAACACCAGGATTACCATAGAAACTAGGACACATCCTCGGCCATAATGGTAGCGATAAGAGAACGTATAATCTCCTTATTTGTCACCGAAAGATTAGCCTACGAATTTAATAAAAGGATTATAATAATAAAGCAAGAGATTTTCACTGACACTGATCCTAATATCCTGAAAAAAATAATAGTATAGTGCAGACTCTCGATACAATATCTCTGTGCAATAACTGAATAAGCATCTTTTTTTCAAGTCACTGGATTATTAATAATATTCGCAATAAAGATAACGTATGAGACAATTAGCGAAATTCAGTGGATATTTGTTTGGTGAAGTGCCGATGCTGTGCAGATAACATTTGGCTGTGGATCAAAATAAAACGACGGAATTCTCACAAGCGGATCAGAGGCTTAGGGAAACGTGCCTACAAAATCTGTGCAAATAACTGTTAAAAATAAAAAAACATTTATCTTCGGCTATTATTATCACTATCTATTTTCATTCTTATTTTTTTATCAACTTATCTTCCTTTCTGTGTAAAATTCATACTGACCCACGAAACTATTCCCAGAAAAAAAAATGGAGGTTTACAACCGATAATTCCTAATTCAAACTCTCACCATGGAAGCTGACGACCCGAAGCCCTTTTCAATTTCTCATGATTTTACTTCTCAACGACGTTCACTGGCCGTTAACGTCTTCATAATTTACTTCTGCGAGTTCTATCACCTGTCAACGACCGATTACTGGAACCAGGGGACCACTCGTTAACAGTTTCGTATAACAATTCTTCAAAAACGCCTCTCGAATTTAACCGCGCGTAATGTGCATATATCACCTACACACACCATCGTGTCTATTCAAAACTTAGGCCATGTTTTCTTTTCATTTTGATCACTTCATAAGCCTAAGTCTCCCGGGCCGTTCTTTTTCGAGCTCGCCTTGTACACGTCTCAAGAGAAACTCATTAGAGCTTGGGGCCATTACCCGAACTCTCCAAAAGGGGCTAAAAGCCTCTTTTTTCCTCTCCAAATAGGGTTTCCTTGTTCATTTCAAACACGGCTCACCATTGCCTTCAGCCCTCGTGTGAAATCAATATGCGTTTTCATAATTTGTTCTCACTCGCATCGCACGCATATACACATACATGTATGTGTATATGTATACTAGACGTGATGTGTGTGTGTGTGTGTGTGTGTGTGTGTGTGTGTGTGTGTGTGTGTGTGTGTGTGTGTGTGTGTGTGTGTGTGTTGTGTGTGTGTGTGTGTGTGTTGTATGTGTGTGTGTTGTGTGTGTGTGTGTGTGTGTGTGTGTGGTGTGTGTGTGTGTGTGTGTGTGTGTGTGTGTGTGTGTGTGTGTGTGTGCGTATGTGTATGTTATGTATATGTTATATGTATATGTATGTGTATGTGTATATATGTATTATATATATGATATATGTCTATAAAATCTTCGCCTTTGCTCCACATTTTCTTAAAACATATTATCACTGAAAGAGTGGATCACCCTAAAACTGGGGTACATTTTTCAACAGAATATTATAAAGCTTTCGCATTTGCAAAGGAGGCGTATTTTTTTTTTTTCTTTTATTCATGT